AACATATAATTGGACTAACTTGACAATGTAACCAAAATCATAGCTTTTTTTAAAAAAAAATGGAGTATCAAAATCATTTGCCTAATTTTCTCAAGTTGAAGTGTTAACAACTACACTAACACAAGGGGCTTCACAGAATAGATATAGAGACACACACTCACCCATAATTCATATACCCCAACAAGACTATTTTAGGCATCACAAAAGTTATATATAGATCTTAATTAACAATCATCAAGGGGGATGGCAATAGAAATACAGGAACATTTTGCTGATCAGCCCCCAACTAGCTATTGTAGTTCATTATTCCCAATGCTAGATTTGGAGCTTTCAAATTCATGACTAATATGGATACATTTTCCGGGGTAGCATGAGTGTAGCTTCAGGACCCAAATCCCCCAAATAAAGATCGCGCAAGGCTCCTCCTCCAAGAGAACTCCTCCTCCTACAGTCCCATATTTCACAAATTGATTGAAAAAGAAGAAGCAACACCACGAATATCGGAAAAAGTGGCCTCCAAAATTTCACACAATCTGCAGAAACCTTCATACAGCATCTAGAAGCCTTAACAATTCGAACATCGTTGAACTGATTACTGACTTCCTTCACGGTGCCAGCAACCTTAGATACCTCGTCAGGCTTTTCATCAGATTTCGTAAACCCATTGCACATTTTGAATATCTCTTCATCAGGAATTTTTGTTTCAATGACTCCAGATCTCTTCAACATTTCCACATCTTTCTCGGATCTTATCAGCCCGCACATCAAATCCACATAATCCCTCATTTGGGTCGATCCCATCTTCGACGTTGCCTCGTAGGCCACCAAGTTCCTCAGTATGACTTCAGAATTAGCACGCAGAGTGATAACTGGAAGACACAGTATCCTCTTCTCCCCGTCCAGTGTAATATTTCCTATACCACAGTCTTTAGGAAGCGGCTTGAATTTCATCTTGAGAAAGATATACAGCCGTGAAGCTGAAGGAATGCCAATTTGATCTCCCAAAGATCCATCTTTCTTGTGATTCACATGCTGAATATTCTTCTGCAAATTGCGGAGAATGTTGGTGACTTTCTCTACATTTCCTGGAAGTTTAATTCCAGCCATTTTTGCATCCGAAAGTGCAGAGTCGAATTCCTCTATTGCGTGCTCAAGAAACTCCCCGGCATGAGAGGCTACCGCTTTTGCAATTGCACCTGCTCTGCTTTCCCCGTAATGTTCTTGATTTGTTTGAGAAATTTTACGCACCTCGTCGCCTATCCCAACTGAATCATGGTTGTTATTTCTGTTGTCCTGAGGGATAGTTTCTGGATTGAAATCTCTGATGTTGTTTTTGACAATCATTTGGTACATAAAATGCAGCAGATGCTTCTTATTGTCAAAAGCTTCGTTTCTTGAGGTTGAATCTGAAGTCAGCTTTAGGGGGGAGTACTTGTCACAAAAACGGACGAATTTCCCAAACAACTCTGCATCTGAATCAATATCGAAACTTTCTTGGAGAATCGCACGCATTTCCTGAATCAGAACAATTGGAATTTGGTTCTCGAGCATGAATACATCGGCAGCCAATGCTTCAGGCTTCGAGTAAATCCTGTCCTTTTCCACGTCCTCGGACCCAGGGTTGTTCTTGTTCGGCTCCTCAGAGCCCAGGTAATCAATCAAGTCCAACAGGAACAAGCCATCCACAATGACTACCCAAGCCAAGGTCTCCTTATCCAGGTCGAGGTATCTATCGTAACACGAACGAATTTTGGGTTCAAAATCTTCAGGACCTTCCTCAACAAGTTTGATGAAGTCTTCCTTGTTAAGGCCTTCCAGATAATCTAAAACAGTTGCCCGTTTGTGGCTTTCCATGTGCTGAACTTGTGGCCAGAAATGGTGGTATGGTCCGAGGCCTACTAGCTGAGGAGTATAAGCCTCGGGCTTGGTGTCCCTCAAGTTGTCTGGAGCATGGAAGACGCAGGGGCGGACGGTATAGTTCTTGATGTAGTTGAGCCTCATGTGGTTTATCCATCGTTTTTGGCTCTCGCTAGAAGTGAAAACTGGAGTGGAAGTGGAAGGCATTTTTTGGTGTATTCTTGAATTTGGGGTTTAAACTTAAAAAAGGGATGAGTCATGTAAGTACTAACTAGTTACCACTAGCTGTCATTATTTATAGGGTGCTTGTGTAAAATGAGGCCTGGTATCACTTCCTTGGGCAAATGTGTGCATTTTCTTATGTTAAGTGTGTGCAGTTTAGGGTAGAAGAGTGAATCTATTTCTTATTTTTAGTGCTTCATATTTGTGTGGAAAGATGCTCACGATATTTTTTCTTTTGTTTTTGGGAAAAAGTGAATTTTCTTAGGATAAGTATATAAAATTTGGATTTATCTTTTTTAATACTGATAGCATACACAATGGATAAAATGCCAAAAAAAACTCCTTGTAATTTGTTGAACGTTCAATTTTAACTCTCTCTAATTGGATGCCTTCTGTCCAATTTTTAAGTTAGCTGAAATCATAAGGAGTTATAATGTAACTTTCTAAATCAGAGGGAGTTAACTTAAACATTCAACAAACTACAGAGAGTTTTTTGGTATTTTATCCCATACACATTAGTAGTTTTAGATGCATGTTACATATGCAAAATTTAATTCAAATGCATACAATTTAGAAGTAAGTGGAATGAATTTACAACTTTTTTTGGTGTTCTTTTTTTTTGCACCATGTGATGTATAAAATAGAAAATTTCTGACTTATATGGTCAATTTTAATTACTTTTTCAGTTATATCAACTATCACGCTTCGTACATGTAATTTGGAAATGCATATTATCAATCACTTGTATAAGTTGTTTATATTATCTGTTTAGGATTATGTTTTCTTTTTTCACGAGTGGATCAAAATAATAATGAGATTTGGTTATGGTTGATAATGATGTACATGAGTATTGAAACCATACACCCCTAAATCAAACTCTGATTATAAGTCATTTTCTTCCCCCGTCGTGTGGGGTACTTTGGTAGGTATAAACTATCCGTCCCTCTATAAAATTTTTTATTAATCACATTAAAATGATATAATTTTTATTTATTAAATTATATAATAAAATAAATAGTAAAAATGCAAACAACATCCTCCTTTAAAATATTAATCTTCATTGTCCTTTTACCTAATGAGAAATGAATCAGAATTGGAGGCACTAAAGTCAAAATCACTGTCAAGTGATTTTTGCAAGTTTTCTATGTTATCTTTTTAGGGCCATGTGTGTTGACTTTTTTGAATTTGGTCAAGTTAATTAGATTTGAGTCCCATCGGAATGATCGAAATGATGTACAAAAGTATTGAAACCATACAGTTGTAAACCATCAAACCATGATTGTATAGACAATTATTTTCTTTTCATGTGGTGGGGTACGTTGCTGGGCACAATAATCAATTCTTTGTCTGATAAAAGAAGATAAACAAACACTTTTAGAGATTGTAAAATTTTTCATTCGACATAAAACAAATTTAAAAGGGAAATGTTATTTGTACTTTATTTTTTTTTTGTTATTTATGCTCTCATTATTTGTTTTATCATGTAATCTAATAAATGAAAACTATATGATTAAAGTGATAATGAAAATACGATTAGTAAAAATAGCTGTGTAAATAACATTTTCTCTTTAAAATCTAATGAATTCTTTTTCATTCAATCACTCGCTTTTATTTGATTTATTTGTGATTTCTTGTAGAAACAAATATTTCTCCCTCGTGCTTCCATCTTGTTAATTCATCTTCATAAACTTACTAGGAAAAACTTAGTGTCATAATAAATATGTTTCAATAATCAAAAAATAATATTTTGATGACAAAAAAAAAGAAAAAAAAAAGAAGCCCACTTGAAAGAAAATGTTACTATAATTCCAAATAAAGTCAATTTTTTCTTTTTAACTAGAAGACTCATTTGCACATCATATCAATATTTGCAATTATAAAAGGAAAATGATATTATTACTTTTCAAAAAAAAAAAAAAAAAAACTTCAGGCACTCCTTCCCTTCTTTTACATTAGATGAAGTTTAAGATGTGCGTGAGATTTTTTGAAGAGAGCTAATATCATTTCTCTTATAAAATGATTAAAACTACAAATACAAAGACAAAAATATTAGAACAGCAAAAGTTGTGTAAAATATTTTCACTTGTTCTTTTTTTTTTTTAAATATTATTCTATACCGTGAATTAGCACAAAGTATTATATCTCACGATCTGAGTCTGGCAAAATCAATTTTCACACCATCAAACTGCGAAAGAAAAAATTACTTAGATATTAATTTTTTGCACCACAGCAGCTCAATATGTGAAGCAAACCATCTAGAGAAGTCAGGACAATAGCCCCCCCCCCCCCTCTCATTCACTGTCAATTCAAAGAGGGAGCTATAGTTCAGTATGGTGGTGACCTCACAATCTTTCTGAACCATAAGCCATGATATTTTTGCATGTGAACATTTGGATATGTTGCATTATTATCCAACAATTTAAAGTAAAAGATTTATTTAAAATTAAAAAAACAATTGTTGACTAGACTTAGTGCAATTATTTGAGAGAGTAATAATTGTTCTTGTCTTCTTCCCAACTAGAAATGGACGAAAGCTGGAGACAAGAACATAAGAAGTCATCAATGCTCAAACGCGTGCATTAAGATACATACCAAAGGGCATTTTACAACTTATGCACCTACCTTGCTTGATTTTTCTTGGACGGCAGTATATGATGGTTCACAATAATGTTAAAGGCATCCTAGTAGCATAACATATTGTTGAATCTGCTGCAAACAGCTCTCAAACATGCACATTTTTCACATCACCAATTTGAACTTTAAATGACTAAAAAAAAGTGTCCTGTTGTAGGTTGCATTCTCACTTCAAGCATTTTTGGTCATTGGAGCCTAACTCTCTATTTTGTGAAGAAAAAAAAAAAGGGAGAGTGGCTCATTATTAAGAATTTATTATCAATATTTGCACTCTGAATTGCATACACTTTTACAAAAAATTTATATATTTGGTAACAAAGCAACACCTAATTCACCTCTTATCCTGAACCTTACGGCATACATTAGAATAACCTGATACATATAAATACTCGCAGTGAAAATTGTGTAAGAAAAGGCTTGCATTATCTTCTAAAGAACCAAATTGGCCTATCTTCCTCGTTGCTACCTACCAAAACCACCTTTACCACCAAGTCCGTGACCAGTCTAACATGAAGATAACCTTAATAAGGCAGTGCACCAAGTTCAGGCTAGAACAATTCCGCCACTCCCTCGTACTCACTCTGCTCGAAACCCACAAAAGAGATCAGCATCTTTTGAACCCAACAGTCATTGACTCGTTCCGAGGTTATCTTGAAGAGGTGAATGTCAAGTCCAAGGCCACCCCGGGCTCCGTCCTCATTACCACCGCTCAGGGTGGCTCATTCTGCAGAGGATTCGACTTCAGGTATGGTTGCAGAGCATAATTTCTGAATAATCATTTTTCATCTCACGTACATTACATTACAAAAAATATTACGGTAACTACACATCAGAATTATCTGAATAATAATGTCCGATTGAAACGAAATAACAGTGTCTAGAATTCAACTTCGGTCATTTTTCAGATTTTTTTTTTTTTTTGCAAGAAAGAAAAGGTGTAGATTAATGCAATTACTCGTGACAAATAAGTTGTGGTGTATCAACTCGATCAGGTATGTCCGGTCCCATGCTGGAGGATCAGAGGATAAAGCATACAAAGAAATGAATGATGGCTTCAAGGATGTGGTAAAAGACTTGATTTCCCTTCCGATGCCCACCATAGCAGCAATTAATGGCTATGCAACGGAGGCAGGGCTGATACTTGCTCTCAGCCACGACCATCTCACAATGAAGCAAGTCGTTGAGCCGTATCTGCGAGCTGAGCTTTTGTCCAGGAAAAGGAGCTACCCCGGCTACTTCGCTGCTCTGATCAGGTCAAAAGTAGGCTGCCCTTTGGCTCGTCGTAAATTGCTGTTGAGGGACGTGCAGATTGATGCAGAAGAAGCAGCAAAGATCGGACTTCTGGATTGGAACCATGAGGTTGCAAGCGAGAAGGATGCCTTGGAAGTTGCAAAGACACAGGCAGACGAACTAGCGAAAAAGGAATGGAATGGCGAGCTTTATGCTGAGATGAGACAACTTTTGTATCCCGAGCTGTGCAAGGAATTGGAATTGACTTCTAGCCATAGTTGTTAAACTCCCAATTCTTCTGTTACGGTCTTAAGATTGTAATAATACTACTAGTAATAGCTAGTACCATAATAACACTTGCCGGTTTGGGATCGCATATGCCTTGTGGTATACATTCAGCTTTCTCTTACTATTGGAGCAACAAGAATGAATATGCAGTTTTTGGGCACTCGAGAATTACCTTTGATTTAAGTAACTTATTTGAGGTAAGTTGGACCTAGCACCAAAATTTAGAGGTTACTCTCTCTCTCTCTCTCTAACATTTTATATAATCCATTTATTTTCTAGTTTTTGGTCAAAAATAGGATAGGACATTGAATATTATTTGTTTAGGAAAATAAAATACAGAAAGTTTCCCTAGAACTAGTTATCTAATTTTTGGCCTTCAAGATTAATTTAACACAGATCTTGAAAGAATGAATTGTGTTCAGCTGATAAATACCATTTTGTGAGACATACACGGGAGGTTGAAATGATATACATCTTATCCATAGAGTAATTTTTTTGACGGTGAAACTCTTACTGAGTAGGAATCAAGCTACAAGTACATGTAAATTTGGAAACGTGTGGGGCAGTCTATGCTCTCAGCAATTCTTCAGAGGAATTTGTGTTTGTTTCCGATATAAATACATGGGAAAAAACCTTGGATTGTTCTACTTGAGTGAAGCTGATTTTAAGCATGGTTATTAGGATTGCAACCTGGATTGTAGGATCGTATGATACTAGGATTCATAAGATGACCAATGATTCAGATCACAAATAGGATCAAATTTTGGTTTTAATTTAGCAAGATCAATAGGATTCCTAATATGGTCCTACCATTTTCAAACATTTAGGCAATAATTTTAGCATTTTGATCATATTTTTGTGTAAAAAACGTGAAATTGAGTGCCATTTGTTGTGTTGGAAACCACATTCAGAGACTAGATTCAGAGGACTTTAAAACCACATAAATACCACGCTCGAATTCCTTACCTACAAAAATTGGAGAATCTTTAAATTTGATTCATATGTTTCACTAGAGTAAAGAGATGATATTTGCTACAAGTTATCACTTAAGGATAGTGTTTATTGTCTTTATTATGTTAAATTAGCATGGTTTAGAGTATTTAAAGATGAATCAACTACTTTTTCTATGTCTATGTGGATAAGTGGTAGGCCATAAATTTGAACCCAAAATACATTTTTTGGCAAAAAATTCTATTCTTAGAATTTTCTTTGATTAGTGTTTATTGTATACCAATTTTTCAATTATTTAAAATATATTTGAAACTTTTTATTATATATGTAATATTTAATTATTCTATTATATAAAAATGATGTAATAATTAATCAATAAATCATAATTAACTTAAATGTGTGGTGTTTATCTATTTTATTAGTATATACTTAGATGGTTTATACACATATGAAGTCAATTTTTCTAAGTATCTTGTCCAGTAATTCTATTTGGATTTTAAAACGAGAAAGAACAAGATTTTTAGTTTAATCAAAATACATTTCGAATATACTACATATGGTCCCTAAGGATGCTCATCCCAGTTCGGTTTGGGCCGAACCGGTCCTCCAGCCCACTCCGGGATGATCCATCTGTTATGATCACCTCGGCTACTCCGTGGATGCTGATGACCGAGGTGATCTCAGCATCCGACGTCACCATGGAACGGAGTGGTGATTTACATCACAACAAAAGTAGATGTGACTCCTGTCACACTCTGTTTACTGCTCTATCACACTGCCCACTACCCAAAGTTATCAAGTCAGGGTGATATGCTGTCTAAATCACCTTTCTAGGGACCTGGACCGCACGGTTCTTCCCTCCAAATTGTCCCCTATAAATATCAGGACCTCTCACTAAGACAAGGACGATTTTACTGGTAAAAGCCTAAACTCTGAGAATATTCTTACATTTTTCACCTAAAAACTAACTAGATCGTCGGAGGAAAATCGGGGGACCTAGCCCCGTCTCTGATAAACTGACCAGGTGATTTTCGTGTAATTACCTCTTCCAGCAGGATTACACTCCAGCTACCCAAGGCAACTTATCCGGTCAGAATTCACCTCTTCAATTGGTGCCGTCTGTGGGAAACGAGAGTACCTGAAGATGAGACCTACGCGTTCTAGGAGCAGAAAGGCTCTCACTATTGGAGCTGAACCAAGCGGTGCAGCTCAACAAGGACAAGGGTCCCAAGGAACTCAGCCCGCAAATGAAGAAGCCATGACCCGAATGGCCGAGTTTGTGGCTAAGAACCCTAATATTTTCGAAAAGTTAGGGAGGTACTTCAAGAGGCAAGACAAGCAAGAGATCGAATCCTCTAAGAGAAAATCAGATGAATCTCCCGAGATCCCATCCGATGAAGAATCTGATGGAAGACATTCTATTAGGAGCACCCCAAAACGAGCCTCATCCAAGGTTACTTCTAGAATTGCCTCCATCTCTAAGGCATTCTCACGGGGTCTGCTCGGAAAACGAGCCGAGGAAGAACCTTGGTACCCAGGAAGGCTGGAGGTGGATTACATGAGGGCTCCGCCTTTCACGGATAACATTAATGAGAAAAGGCTCTCCCCAAATTTAAAACTCCCCACAATACCACCTTATGATAGCCGAGGTGACCCTGAGGATCACCTTCATGCCTTTATTTCGACTTTTTGATTATACTGCGTTCCCGACCCGGTTATTTGTCGGGCCTTCCCAGTATTCTTGCAAGCGACTGCTCGAAAATGGCTCTGGGGACTAGAACCTAGGAGCATATCCTCTCTGAGAGAACTGGTGGACAAATTTATTCACCGATTTATATCTTCCAAACCGACGACAAAGACCTCGGATTATCCGCTAAATATACAGCAGAATCCAGTGAAGTCCCTTCGTTCTTATGTACAGAGGTTTCAAGATGAGAGCGTGCAGATACCTGATTCTAATGAGCAAGTAACTATAGCCACATTTACAAATGGGCTTGTAGCCGAAGTGTTCAATACCGGAGTGCACAAGAAGTATCCCCGCACGCTTCGGGAGCTCTGGCAGAAGGTCGAAAGAGGCATACAGACTGAGGACCTGAACCGTATGAAGAGAGAAACCCAAGTGGCTCGCTCAAGACCTGATTCCCAAAGGAAGAAAGAATCAGGCCGAAACGAGACTGGCACCAGTGGCAGTCTCCAGAATCCCAACCGAAATCGTCGAAGCGTTTTTGATAGGATAGCCAAGGGAAAGTCATCTATCCCGGATTCTGAGCTAACCCCCTTGAACGCTAGCCAATCCCGTGTGCTCTCCGTGATAAAGCAGAACAACCTTAGACGTGCCCCTCCAAAGATGTTCGGAAAGAGAAAAAAGAGGAACTCCAGTTTATACTGTCTATACCATCGAGATATCGGGCGTGAGACTGAGGACTGCAACGATCTCAAAAAGGAAATAGAGCACCTCATCAAGCAGAGGCATCTGAAGCAGTTCACCCGCCGAGACGAGAGTTATAACCGGAGTGGCTCTCGTCGCGAAAACCGGGATGACCAACGGCGAGATGATCGGCGAGGAAAATCTAATTTTCTGGTAGTGGAAGAGTGGTGCTAATAAATTAGTAATTAAGTATTTGGTTGTGAATGGGGTTGGGGGGTGTAAATAAATCAGTTTTTGGAGTTTTCTTTTCGGAAGAGTGCTTAAACGATTTGATCGTTAATGGCGCCTACCAGAAATGGTTGATGATACTAGCTAGTACACTGTTAAAATTAAAGTAAAGTTTGGTTTCATACTTCATTGGCTTCTTCAAAGATTTACTGCGCACCTCACCTCACCACCTAATTGTTGGATCTCTTTTGCGTGCATGCAGCATATGTTTACGATTTTTTTGTCATTCCAGACTTATTAATTTGGCAATTGGGCTCTTTGATTGGGTGGGTTTATTTATGTCCAAAATGGTTAGCTAACAACCCCTATGTGGCTGCATTAAAAGAGGAGGAGAATTAACGGATCGTTTCATCATCAACCTTTATTGGAGTATTGTATACTGGACAGTACTATCTTATACTCGTGCTAAAAATTTTGCATTCTGCTGTTTAGATTTTTTGCATTCACTGGATTTTGAATGCGACATTCTAAGGAATTTGTCTTGTGCCATGTTTATCTAATAAATTATGTTATTCACTAATTGTTGGATGTCATCTTTGCCGAGTAATCCAACAGGACCAAGTAGCACAGCTGATGAGAATGAGGTTGCCATTTTGGATTCGGAAAAGGAAGAGGTGAAGGAAGATGATTCGTGTAAGAAACCTAGGGAAAAGAAATTAACATCTAAGGTATGGTTTGATATGGATAGAGTTAAGACTGCTACTGGTATTCTTGCCATATGTAAGCATTGTAAAAAAAAAATGGCCGGGGATAGCTCATGCAGGACAAGCCATTTGAAAAAACACATAGATAATTGCATTGCTAGAAGACATAGGAGTGGAGGGCAGCAAGTACTTCAATTGGCTAAAAATGCTTTGGATGATAAAGTTAAAGTTCAAACTTTCAAGTTTGATCAAGAGAGAAGTAGAATGGATTTGGCTAGAGCTATAATAAAACACAACTATCCTTTTAACATAGTTGAGCATGAGTACTTTGAGATTTTTCTGAATAATTTGGAGCCAAATTTTAAGCTGGTTTCTCGAAATACAGCCAGGGCAGATGTGATTAGTGTTTATAAAGAAGAAAAGGCAGAATTGTACAAGTATTTGGATGATTTTGATGGTAAGATAAGTCTAACTACTGATCTTTGGACATCAGATCACCAAAATTTTGCCTATGCCTGTTTGACAGCTCATTATGTCAATGAACATTGGGAATTGAAAAAGAAAATTATTGCTTTTAAATCTGTTCCATATCCTCATGATGGTGAAACATTAGTTAGATTTATTTCTGATATCATCTTGGAATGGAACATTGATAAGAAGCTGACCTCTGTTGTTGTTGATAATACATCTTCAAATGATTCAATGGTTAAATGTTTGAAATCATGGCTATTGGATAAGTCATTGCTCAATTTAGGAGGTGATCTTTTTCATGTTCGATGTAGTGCACATATTCTTAATTTGATTGTGCAAGATGGGTTAGCTATTGTTGGAAAATTGCTTCATAAGATTCGAGAGACCTTAAAGTACTTGAAAAGGTCTACTTCTTTTTATCAAAAGTTTGAGAATGCAATTAATCAATGCAAGCTGAAAAATAAAAAAAGAGTGGGTATAGATATTCAAAATAGATGGAATTCTACATTCTTGATACTTGAGACTGCTTTGCCTTTGAAGGAAGCTTTTTGTCGTTTAGAACAAATGGACAGAAATTACAAGTTCAATCCTTCAGAAAATGATTGGAAAGTGGCTAGTGTTGTTCATGGTTGTTTGAAAAAATTTTATGAAGCCACATGTCATTTTAGTGGTTCTAATTTTCCCACATCAAATGTTTTCTTTCCCGATATATGTAATCTTCGTATTAAGATGAGGCAATGGGAAGTTAGTGAGCATGATTTTATTCGAGAAATGGCTATTCCAATGAAAGCAAAATTTGAGAAATATTGGGAAGAATGTTCTTTGGTGCTAGCTATTGCTGTGGTGTTTGATCCTAGATTTAAGTTGGCTTTAGTAGAGTATTATTACAATGATCTTTATGGAGAAGGTGGTGAAAGATATGTGGATAGAGTTCGTAATGCTATTGCTAACTTGTTTGTTGAATATGGAGGTGACCTTACTCCGTTTTTGAGTTATGTTGGAGATAATATAGGAGAAGGGACTTCTAGTTGTGGTAACAAAAATATAGATGCAGAAGATGATGATGATAAGTTGTCTGATTTTGACAAATGGTATCAGCAATCATGTTCTTCTACTATTCTTGCTAGCCAAAAATCTGAATTGCAATCATACTTGGACGAGCCTGTATTTCCAAGAAAAGATAATTTTGACATATTAGGTTGGTGGAAGGCAAACAGTCTAAAATTTCCTATTTTTAGCAAGATGGCTCGTGATATTCTTGCAATTCCAGCTACTACTGTGGCATCGGAATCAGCATTTAGCGTTGGCGGAAGGGTAATTGATGAGACTTGTGCTGCCTTGCTTCCTGATGTGGTCGAAGCTTTGATAACGACGGGAGATTGGTTACCTTTGAAAAAGAAAAGAAGTAAGTCCTTCATGTTTATGTTTCTTTTGTTGTTTTTTCTTTTTAAATCCATATTACAAGTTTGTTTGGTTGAATTACTCTAGAAAGACTAATCTACTTTTTTTCTCTTTGTTTTCTTAGAATTATTTGGAGAAGATTTGGGTGATTCTTCTAAATTTCTCAAGTTAAGGTGATGTATTTGAGTAAGGTCAATTTGATTTCTTTCTTACCTGATTTTTTTTTTTGTATTAGTTAGTAATTAGTTTACAAATATATTGTATCCTTATTTTTGTTGCAGAAAATTGTGAAACTTGAGAGCCATGAAGACTATTGTAATCTACAGGACTTCATTAGTTGGTTGATGTATTTTATATTTATGTTTGATTGGACTTTTTAGAAATTGTAATTTGTTGGATGTCATATTGGTGTTGTTGCTAATATTGGCTTTGTTGAAATTGTAATTTGTTGGATGTCATATTGGCTTTGATTGAACTTTTTAAATCCTGGTGTTCGTTGGATTAGATTATATGAAATAGTTTGCTACATGCTGTTTTCTTCTTGACAATGTTACTTTATATTATCTTTTATGTCCTTGTTGGCTGAAATCTGTTAAGTGTTTAACTCTTGAGCTGTGGTGATGTTAGGAAAAACGATTCATCACCTTGTTCTTTTTTGTTTCTAGTCCTTTCTTGAGCTGATAGTCCCCTCGATAGTGGTGAGACTATTGATTGGATTGCATATTGGAACCTTCATCATGAATGCTTCTCGAAGATTGGTGTTAGTTCATTATGTTATAGTTATAGTTATGTTATAATTCATTTATAGTTCACCAGTCTGGTGAACTATAACATATTTGGGATCCCTTTTGGATTGCATTTTGAACACCAGTCTTTGAAGGCTTCATGGGGTCACTCCTGAGAGAGGTTAGCTATGCTTTTGAATATAAGAGGAGAATGTGATAAAAATTAGACTGCATTTTCCAGGTGTTACTTAAACAGGTTTTTAACGGGTCTTTTTGCCGGGTAGACTCGGTCCGGATTCGGGACCAGTCGGGTGCGGGTCCGGTGAAAGATTAGAAGACCCGTCGGGTATTCGGACCGAATCCGGAACTAATCCAGTATAACGGGTCCAGATCCGGATATATGCATTCCGACCCGGACCCGATCCGTTGACAGCCCTACTTATGGTTCCCATCACATCACCCTAGCCCTTTGAGCACTGAGGGACGGATATTATCGGCCCATTCCCCAAGGCCATCGGTAATCATACCTATTTGGTGGTGGCAGTAGATTATTTCACGAAATGGATCAAAGTCGAACCCCTAAGGAGCATAATCGGTTTGACTGTCCAGAAGTTTTTCTGGAAAAATGTGGGACCTGTTTAGAACCTGAGTTTTTTGGAAATTTGTCTAAAACTTTACTGTAACGCACTGTAAAAGTTTTTGAAAAGATTTTGTAGAAGTTATTGTAAGGTGAAAAACTTTTTTGTAAGGTGAAAATTTTTTTTTCCTTTTCTTTTTCTCTTTCTCTTTCTTTTTCTTTTTCTTTCTTTTCTTTGTCTTTCCTTTTCTCTCTTCTTCTTCTTCTTCCTTCTCCCTTCTCCCTCCCCCTTCCCTCCTCCGTTACCTTTGCCTTCCCAGTTCCCAGTAGCCATGGCCCTACCATTTTTTTTCTTTTCTTTTTTTTTCTATTTCTTTTTCTTTCTTTCCTTTTTCTTTTCTTTCCTCTCCTCCTCCTCTTCTTCTTCATCCTTCCTTCCCCTTCTCTCTTCCCTCGCGGTACCAGACGAACCAGCAGCCCCTCTCCCAAATTTTTTTTTCTTTTTCTCTTTCCCGCTTCTCCCTTTCTGCTCCTCCTCCCCCTCTACTCCCCTTCACTATCTCCTTCTCCCTCCCGAAGCAGAGAACTAGCAGCCATGACACCTATAATTTTTTTTTTACTTTTTCTCTCCCCCTGTTCTCCATCTTCCTCTCCCATTCTTCTCCCATTTCCTACTCCCCTCCCCTTTACAGCAGCGGAGGTGGTGGTGGCCGGCGGCGGAGGGATGGCTGGCGATAAAGGTGTGGTGGATAGGGGTGAGGGAGAAAGAAGAAGAAAAGAGGAAGTTTTTTATGTATTAGATATTTTGAAATATGTAGGTTAAAAATTTTGATACGTTTTTTTGGGTTCCTGTAACTAAAGTTGTTAAAAAACTAGTAACTAAAAAACTTGGCCAAAAAACTCGGTTCCAAACAGGCCCGTGGTTTGCCGCTTCGGATTGCACCGGGTTATCATTTCGGATAATGGGAAGCAGTTCGCAGATAACCCCTTCAAGAGTTGGTGCTAGAACCTCGGCATCAAACAACATTTCACCTTGGTTGAACATCCTGAAGCTAATGGACAAGTTGAGAATTTTAATCGAACACTTCTCCATGGTCTGAAAACCAGGTTGCATCGAGTCGGGTCATCTTGGGTGGACGAACTCCCCAACGTGCTATGGTCCTACCGAACCACCTGAGATCCGCTACACAGGAAACCCCGTTTTCTTTAACCTACAGTCCGAGGCAATGGTCCCGGCTGAATTCATCACCCCGAACCCGAGCATAGACGCCTTTGCAGCCGAGGTTAATGAAGAAGGGAGAAGAGTAGATCTTGACTTCATCGAGAAAAAGAGGGACGCCGCAACAGCTAGAGTCGCATTGTATAAAAACATCCTGACTAGCTACTATAACGCTCGAATTAGACACCTGCGGTTCAGCCCGGCGGACCTTGTTCTATGAAAGAACTCAGTTAGTCGAGTTGAACCCCAAGGCAAACTAGCTCCCAGATGGGAGGGCCGTACCGCATCATTGAGTCTAACTGAAATGACTATTGTAAACTGACCTATCGAGATGGCGCCTTAGTGCCCTGAATTTGGCATGCGAAAAATCTCAAATTGTATCATCCATGAAAAGTATGTTTTTATTTAAAAACTACTTAGTATTGCTTGTGTTAGTCATTCTCAAGTTATTTATTTTCTCCTTAACATCAAGTTAATGATTAAGCACAAAATAAGGGGACAAGTAGAGAGTAAAAGCAAAAACTATAAGAAAAGAAATAATTGGTATTCAAAAAAGAGAGTACAAGAGATGATAAATTACAAAAAGCCGAGGTCAGGGATGCTGCTAAGCATTCCCTGCCCCGGCATTTTCACGACTCTCACCCTCTTCAGTGCTGGTGTCTTCTCCTCCTGCTCCACTTCCCTTGAGCTCATCACTTCCCGGTGACTGCTCAAACTCAGACAACCAGTGATTGAACTCTTCCCCGAACTTCAGCCAGGTCTCTCCCAACCTGGATGCCTTCAGCTATGCAGTCGCACAACTCTTTGGCATCCTTATTATAGTTAGGCTTGTCCTTAAAAGAGTCTAGCTGCTCGGAGGAAAGGAAAGATGCCGCCTCGTTGATGGCCGAGGTGTATCCAAACATGAAACTCGGCAGTGTTAGCTCACCGAGATCACGAGTGAAAGTTTCGAATTTGCGGAAAGCCTCCACAACCGAGGTACCCGCCTTCTCTATAGCCTCCCGAGCTGACTGCTCTTCTTGGACTCTTCTATATTTTTCTTTTTCAAGAGCCGTCTTCAAAGAGTTGATTGTGGCCTCAGCTTGCTCCCGCTCGGCCACAGCCTTGTCACGTTCTTGCTCGGTAGCCTTCAACTTTTCTTCTAGTTGGGAGATCTTTTTTTGAACCTCGGAGGATGGTTGGTAATGCTCGACGATGTTAGTGTAGCATTGCGTCATCTCGGATAGGAAGACCGTAGTAAAGACCAATGCCACCGAGGCACTTTGCATCAGTTCAGGAGGCATGAGCTTTCTGGCATAAGTATGGTCCTTTGGCAGGACGAAGTGCACCAAGAGCTCGTGAGCGACCCGAGGATCTTTGCAGCGGTCGTTCACATTAAGGTCTCATTCCGAACACCAGTGTGCGCCGGAGTGCCTCTTGTCCTCCCCGACTTCCTAAGGTCGCACGTGGTGAAGGTTCCATAAAAACGACCCCGTGACAGGGACTTCAGGAGGTACTGTCACGCCTCGGCCTGGAGGTGGTGATGTTATCGTCACACCTCGGGTGGCAACGCCTACTGGAATGGCCGAGGTCTGGGAAGTCTCGCCTAAAATTATCACTGGAGTGGATAGGATCGTTGTGCCTGCGGTGGTCTTCTCTTTCTACAGACTAGATGCCTCGACAGTGGCCTTCCGCTTCAATTGTCTCTTGGCCACCACGGCGTTATCCAAAATGATCAGGTCGGACACTCTTACCACTGCATAAGGAAAAAGTGAGGTTATTTAGAATCAAGCAAAAATAAAAACAAGATTATGAATGGAAAAGTACAAGGTTTTTGAAGCCTAATAGAAAAGAAGGAAGGACGATCCGGCTTATCAGAACTCAGCTGATCTTGCCATCAACAAGGATTGCTTGGGAAAAAATCCAACTGTTGATCCTAAGACCCGACCCCATGAGTTTCTGAAAATTCTCTTCTTCTATGTTTCCCGGGGAAATATCTTTCACCGTGGTGGGGGGCCTCCACCAGAACCCCCTGGGAAAGTCCTTGGTAGGAACGAATACAAAGTTACGCTTCCACTCCTTTATTGAGGACGGAACGTCCACTACTAACTTCAGGACTCTGTTCCCGAAGTAGAACCATCCCTTCTCACTCCCACTATTTTTTATGGTATAACAGCGACGTAAGAGATTAACTGAGGGGGCTATCTTTTGATGCCGGCACAGCATCTCAAATCCGACAAGGACCCGAACTGCATTGGGAACGAACTGAATGATCCTCTCCCTCTAATATCTGAGGCAGTCTCGGAAGAACCTGGTGGTTGGCATTCTGAGCCCGTCTTCCAACTGATCCGCATAGATAGCCACCCTATCCCTCAGAGGAAGCTCTGCTGATTTGTCCGGCCTGGATGGGCGGATACTGTAGTCTCCCCGAAAGGGGTATTTGCATACCAGTGCAGTTGTTAGGGCTTCACCCATGATACTACTGAACATTGGGACTTGGTCGTAGTCGATAGCCTATAGGTCCGAAGGGGTGGACGGCTCAAGCACGCCCTCGTCCCTGGGCACCTCGGTCCCTAGTTCGTCGGTGTATATCATCTCGGATTCTTCTTGGTCCTGCACTTGTGACGTCCCGGCCTCATTGGACGCTTCGGCTATCTCCTCCCCGAAGTCTAAAGAGGTTCTCTCCTCAGATGGGTCAAGCCTCTCTGCCTCATTGAAACCCGGTCTCACTGTTTCCCTGTGTGTGCGGGTTACCCGAGCCATGAGCAGAAAGGGGAAGAAGAGACGGACTTACTATTTTTAGGTGGGTGGATGGCTACTAATGAAGCGTCACCTCGGGAGCTTGCTCTGATGGCTTAAGTTCTCACGGCAAGGAATAAAAAGTGAAAGTGAAAAAAAGGGTGAAAGTGAGAAAAGGACCCCCTATTTATAAGGAGGAAGAGGAAACCAAGAGACGGTACATTGAACTTTCAAAAAAGGCGCGCCCTCCTCATTTATATGAGGCCATCGTTTTGACCAACCGTCGCCTGACCCTTTGTATTCCTGTCCTCTACATGTCCACGTTCCATCACTCAGATTGACAATTGTCCTATCACCTTATGTATGTCCTTATTCGCTCGTATTCTACGTGCCATCATTATGGCGTACAGGGGCTTTTTCGTTATTTTCTCATGAAAACCTCGGGAATCTACTAGCAACCAATACTATCCCGAGGCTTGGGGGGCTTATTGAGGATGCTCATCCCGGTCCGGATTGCCCGAACCGGTCCTCCAGCCCACTCCGGGATGATCCATCTGCTATGATCACCTCGGCTACTCCATGGATGCTGATGACTGAGGTAATCTCAGCATCCGACGTCACCATGGAACGGAGTGGCGATTTACACCACAACCGAAGTCCTGTCTAAGGATCTGACAACTGAAAAGTAGATGTGACTCCTGTCACACTCTGTTTACTGCCCTAACACACTGCCCACTGCTTAGAGTTGTCAAGTCAGGGTGATATGCTGTCTAAATCAGATTTCTAGGGACCTGAACCCCACGATTCTTCCCTCCAAATTGTCCCCTATAAATATCAGGACCCCTCACTAAGACAAGGACGATTTTACTGGTAAAAGCCTAAACTTTGAGAATATTTTTACATTTTTCACCTAAAAACTAACTAGATCGTCGGAGGAAATCGAGGGACCTAGCCCCGTCTCTGACAAACTGAGCAGGTGATCTTCGTGTAGTTACCTCTTCCAGCAGGATTACACTCCAGCTACCCGAGGCAACTTATCCGATCAGAATTCACCTCTTCAGTGTGAGAACCCAGAAAAAAAAATTGGCATTATTTTATTCCGGTGCATCATTATTTTTAAATTGCCTTTATTATATTAGTTTTATCAATCTTTTATCAGTAAATAGAGTTTTTAAATCATTTTTCTAGTATAAGTTAGTTCATGCGAAATTAGGAATGTATATTGGACGTGGGACCCGCTAGTGCATTAAGTGAGAGAAATTCGGCCAATTAAATTAAAATTTGCATAAAGGGATTTAATTCCTAGGTGTTAGGAGATAATTAGAGATTATCTAGATGGATTAACCATGGGGAGACAAGAAAATGACTTCAAGCAACAACAAAGTGCCAAGTGTCACTACCTAGTCAAAGTTGACTTGCCTAACTTTTCTTTAACTTTACTAAAACTTCAATTTTGACCCAAATCATCTTCACTTCATCACCTCCTTGGCCGAGCTTCATCTTGAGAGAAAGAAAAGAAAGGTTCAACCTTTCATCTTCCATTCTTGCTTACATCTTGAATACCAACCGATTAACTCTTGAATTAGTCCACAAAATCGACTTGCTAAGGGAGTTTGAAGGACTTGGTGGAATTGTTTTGGAAGAAAAACCCCTAAACTACTACCTTTCTTGAAGAGTTAAGGTATTTTGCTTGGAACTCACTCTTTGTTCCTAATAATGGTCAATTAGTGACTTATGGTAGCTAACTAGTTGATTTTATGAAAGATTTTATGGATTAGAGTGAAATTAGATAAATTTCTGATTTTTGTGAGAATTTTTCTGTTTTCCTATGATGGATATGGTTGGACTTGATTGATGGCTCTAAATGGTGTTAAATAGACCTCTTGTGCGTTAATTGCGGGTATTTGCGGAAAATTTCCGCTTGTGCGAAAAAATTTCAGATTTAGGGTTTCTAATTGGGGCTTTTCTAGGGTTGGTTGTTGAGCTTCTAATTGGCTATGATTAAGGGGTATTGTGACCCTAATGAAGTATATTGAATGGCCTATGAATTGTTTGGGTGCTTGTGGTTGTTTTGGATGCATTTTAATGGTTGTTTTGTAAGATGGAAAAGCTGAAATTTTAGGGGAAATGCTGTCCAAATGTTAGGATATTGGATTCTTGTGAGTTTGGGTTGAGGTTGGATCGAAATGAAAGGTTTTGGGGTTTGTTTCTACTTTTAGCCCTAAATGTTATGTATTTTCCATTTTCAAGCTGTATTTGGTTTTTGCCTTAATAGTTCGTTTAAGAGGTATTCGACTCGTGTCCGAGTCTTAATTGTACTTCCTTGTTTATTATAGGGAGTGCCGGTGATCCGAGACTCACGTTGGCGAAAACTTGTGAAATTACTTTGTTTGACTTTGTGAGTGTACTACTCACATGTTTGTTATTTCGTGGCTTTACTGTACTTGGAATCTGTGATTGGACTACTTGTGATTATTGTTTATGCTAGATGAGACGAGGGTG